CCCCCCCCCCCCCACGGGACGGACCCGACAGCCCCGTCGATGAGACGCAGCAGGATCTCCTTCCTTTTTCTTTTTTGAGGAAGATCTTGAAAAGAGATTTTAGATTACAGAACTAACAGGTATTTGCTCAGTTTAATCAAGGGCGCTAGCTAGTGTATTCGCATCAGCAATCAAAATATAACTTACTGAGTATGTAATGTGTACCCGAGTCAGTACAAAGCATATTTTTGTTTTGTTTTGTTTTTGGGTCCGGTCGTGGGCCCTGAACTCTGGGCCTGGGCGCTGTCCCTCAGCTCTTCAGCTCAAGGCTAGCGCTCTACCACGTGAGCCACAGCGCCACTTCCAACTTTTTTCTTTTTGCTTATGTGGTGCTGAGGAATAGAACCCAGGGCCTCAGGCATGCAAGGCAAGCGCTCTACCACTGAGCCACCTTCCCAGCCCACACTTAGCTTTTTTTGTACTCAAGGTCAGTTCTTAACCACTTGAGCCAAGTCTCTAGTTTCAGCCTTTTTTGCCTTTTTTTAATCTTTAAAAAAAATTTTTTTTGTCAGTTGCGGGGCTTGAACTTTGGACATGGGCGCTGTCCCTCAGCTCTTCAGCTCAAGGCTAGCACTCTACCACTTGAGCCACAGCGCCACTTCCAACTTTTTTCCTTTTGCTTATGTGGTGCTGAGGAATCGAACCCAGGGCCTCAGGCATGCAAGGCAAGCACTCTACCACTGAGCCACCTTCCCAGCCCGCCTAGCATATATATATATATACACATATATGTATGTATATGTATATATATGCTTGTTAAATGTTTCAGTTCATGTGAGTACTCAATTTTGTACATGAGGATACTATGTTTAGATCAGTCTTTCCTATAAACTCCTGTTGTTGAAGTGTCTGTTATTCCATATCTCCTCTTGGATGCTCCAGAGACTCCACAAACTTCTCAGGGTAAATCTTCTGGACATCCACCATCCGTACCCACCCACTGAGCAGAACCCCAGTGGTTATTTGTGGCATGCCCTTCCTTCTCACTTTCATGTTTGAGCCTTTACCAAATTTTGGAACTTTTGCTTTCTATTATGTCCCAGCACTTTAGGCTCCTTTCAAAGTGTGTAAAGGTCATCTTTCTGTTTTCTGGTGGGTTGTAGGGCTTGAACCCTGGGCCTGGGTGCTGTCACTGAGCTCTTTTACTCAAGGATAGGCTCTACTACCCAGAGCACCACTTCCAGTTTTTAGATGGTTAAAGAGTCTCACATACTTTCCTACCATGGCTGGCTTTGAATTGCAATCCTCAGATTTCAGCCTCCTGAGTAGCTGGAATGACAGGTATGATAGACCAGTTCCTGGCTTCTCTTTGATTTTGAGAGCACTAGAGCTTGACATCAGAGTCTACTGCTTGCTAGGCAGAGGCTTTAGTCAGGTCCCTAGCTCCTTATCCTCCTGTTTAATTTTTTTTTTTTTTTCATCATGAGGCTTGAACTCTGGGCCTGGGTGCTGTCCCTCAGCTCTTCAGCTCAAGGCAAGCGCTCTACCACTTGAGCCACAGCACCACTTCAGGTTTTCTAGTAGTTAATTGGAAATAAGAGTCTCCTGGACCTTATCTGCCTGGGCTGGCTTTGAACCGTGATCCTCAGGTCTCAGACTCCTGAGTAGCTAGGATTACAGGCGTGAGCCACCAGCTTCTGGCTCTGTTTAAAGTCTCTTAATAGCTATAAGACCCATTTTGGCTGGCCATTCTGCTTCTCTTACTCTGTTCCTTTGAGTTAAATTGGATCCTTTGCATTCCCTGTATTCACCAGGCTTTGCTCAGTACATGTTCTCTGACTAGGATGCTCATCCTGTACTCACTTACAGTTAACTTCTGCCTTTTTTTTCCCCTTGTGAGTACTGGGGCTTGATCTCAGAGCCCTGTGCTCCGGCTGGTGCTCTGCCACTTGAGTCACACTTCTATTTCTGGCTTTTTGCTGGTTAAAAAAAATTGATGATAAGAGTCTCGTGGTCTTCTCTGCCCTGGCTGACTTTGATCCTCAGTTTATAGATGTTTGAGTAGCTAGAATTACAAGTATGAGCCACCAGCTCACACATGTACATGCTGTAAGCTCTTGTTAACTCATTTACTGCCCATTTCACAAATGAAGACACAACAGCACAGCCGGTCGCCGGTGGCTAGCCTGTAATCCTAGCTACTCAGGAGGCTGAGATCTGAGGATCACGGTTCAAAGCCAGCCAGGGCAGGAAAGTCCGTAAGACTCTTATCTCCAATAAACCACTAGAAATCTGGAAGTGGCGCTGTGGCTCAAGCAGTAGAACGCTCACCTTGAGCTGAAGAGTGCAGGGACAGCGCCCAAGCCCGGAGTTCAAGCCCCACGACTGACAAAAAAAAAAAAAAAGAACAGCACAGAGATTAAGTACTTTCAGAAGGTAAAGCAAGGAGGTGACAGAGCCAAGGTTAAAACACAGGTAGCCTCAATTAAGAATCCTTAACTATAACTGCTCTCCAGAAAGGAAAGAAAGGCTGTAAGTAGTCGAGTTAAGGTCACAATCCCCAATATGCAGTCATGGAGTATGAAGCAGGAATCGATGTCTGTGATTCTGTGACTAACCTCTTCCTTCGGATTCCTGCCCAGATACCACCTTTTCAGAGACAGAAATCATGGTCCCCTTATGTAAACAGCGCTCTCCTTGTTCCCACACTTGCAATCCTGTTACCCTGCTTTACTTTTCCATAGTGCTTATCATCACCTGGCCTGTATTTGTGTTTGTCTCTTTACCTTCTAGTAGAAGATAAGCTCCGGGAGAGTAGGGACTTGGGCTGCTTTGTCTGCTGCAATATCCCCATTGCTCTGAGCTGGGCTAGCCTGTAGTCAATGCCCTGTACATACTCACTGAATGAGTGAATGTGTTTTCCTCAGATGAACTGCATTATTTTGGGTACTGTGTGGATGTGCAGCCTATCTTTCTGTTTCCTAGTTTGGCTGTAATGTCCTGGGCTTGCTAAATCAGACCGTAGGCTTTTTTTATTTTTCCAGTCATGGGGGCTTGAACTCAGGGCCTGGGCACTATTCCTAAGCTCTCTTACTACCTTAGGTATTCTTTTTTTTTTGGTCAGTTGTGGGGCTTGAACTTGGCCTGGGCGCTGTTCCTGAGCTCTTGAGCTTAAGGC